TTTTTTACACTCTGTCAGACTAATTATGTGTGCTTTATTAAACATTAGTATACTATATATATAAAATAAATCGCTAAAGCTAAATCTTTAATTAACTTACTCATCTTGATTATTATCACTCTAAGTGTAACTTCGGGAGTGATTTATCGCTTCATTAGTAGCTCAGGTGAAAACCCTTTCAACTACTAATTTTATTGCCTACGGATCACTACTGCAGATCCTCTTTATGAGTTCTGATAGAAATTAAAATCCTAACCATCTTATTCCATACTTTAAAAACCATGATAGGTTATCATTAATTTGCATGTATATAGAAAATATATAGTTTGTATGAGATGATTGATGTGATGCTCAAGATTTCACTATCTAATATGTTAAGTTAATTTTTAATAAAAGTGCTTGTATCTAATATCAATTGTGGTTTAAAAAAAAAAAAAAAAAAATAAGTTATATTGTTTTATAATTATTTAATATATACATAATAAAGACATATCATGTTAACCTGACCGCAGATTAAAAAAAAAAATAATAATAATGAAATCTTTAGAACCTTTAACTTTTATAATTTTATTTTTATAAAAATTATAAAAATATTTTTTATTAAGAATAATTAATAAAGTAAAAGATAAAATCTTTAAAAAAAGTTTTTTGATAAGATTTAATTATTCTATAGTAATATTAATTATATTAATTTTTTTTTTAAAAAAGTAAAATTATTTTATCAAAAAATTAATTATTTAATATTGTGACAGAACTTTGTGATAAATTCCAATTGTGAAAAGAACGCAAGTGACAAAGTCAAGTATCGTTTTTGATGTGGTAAGCAGGATTACGTAATTTTTAATATTGTCACGCGTGTCATTCCGAATAGCTTTCAAAACGTATATATAATGTAGCGACTGTGCAATTTTAACCGAGAAATATATAATAAGAAATGTCTTCGAAACTGAGTGGATTTCTTTTTGGGAATGTCGATGCTGAAGGACATTTGGAAGATTCGGGACTTGGCGAGGTATGTTGCAAAAATATTTTGTTTTTTATCTTAAAACTAGGCTGATTTATAAAATTTAATAATTCCTACCTTAGGAACTTCGAGATTCGCTCCAAAAGGGAGCTGAAGAAGGAGCTGTTCTTAGTCAAATATTCTCAGTCCAATCGTTAGGAATTGAGGAAATGGAAGATGAGGAAGCAGCTCAAAGTGAGGCATCTGTTCCAACCCCAGTTCGTTCGCCAGAGGAATCGAGTATCCGACCAACGGAAGATGCTATCGACTACTTTGACACAAATGAAGTCATTGCCGATCCAATTTTTTCATACAAATACTATCAACAAGGAATAAATAGCGTCCGGAATTTTCAAAAGTCGTCAATACAGTCCTCACAGTTGAGTCAAATTACTGATGACAGTAACAATTATGATGAAGAAGAGATCAAGGACGTTCAAATTTCACAGATTAATCCACCCGTCGAAGTAGCATCAATGGAAAATAATTATCCCGCATCAGATCAAACTTTATCATTGACGATGCAAAATTCTGTAATTGATATCAAAACTTTATACCCAGCATTTGAAAAAGACAAGATCTTAAAGTTTTCCGAATTATTTGCAAACAAAGCTAGAAGTAGAAAGTTAAACCCCGTGAGTCGACATGGTATAGATAATTTGATCTTTTGTGATTGCATTAAAATTACACAAAATTTTAATGTGGCGTTGGGTTTTTATAGCGGTGGAAAAAAAATCATCTTTCAAATTTGAGCTGGATGACATGGAATTGTTTGAATCTTCTAGTCAACAAGCAACAAGAATCGGAAAATTACATGTCGACGATGTTATCCGGAGCAAAAAGTACACGGAAGATTCGATACCCTATGTTTCTCATGAAAGCGACATAGATTCCGAATTCAATATTGATGTTGGTGATTTTTGCTTGAAATTACATGCTTAAAAACAATATTTCTCAAGTGTCATAGATTCCAATCTTTTCAATCATTTGATTAGGATAAATTACGTGAGATAAAAGATTTGCCATGGAAAATACCTGATAATCCGGATACATATTATTCCATTATGATGG